TCTTAGATTTAAGTCTTTAATCCATCTTGGTTAATTTTATATATGGAGAGACAGGGATCCAGTTTTATTTTTCTACATGTGGTTATCCAATTTTCCCAGTACCATTTATTGAATTGGGTATCCTTTCCTCAGTGTATGTTTAAAAACAATCCTAAAATTAATATGGAACCAAAAAGAGCCCAAATAGCCAAAGCAACCCTAAGCAAAAGGAACAACTCTAGAGGCATCCCATTACCCAACTTCAAATTATACTACAAGGCTATAGTAATCAAAACAGCATGGTATTGGTGGTAAAAGTAGATACTTACTGGTACTGGTATAAAAGTACATACTGGTACTGGTAGAAAAGTAGATGGTACTGGTGTAAAAGTAGATACATAGTGGTACAGGTGTAAAAGCAGATACATAGACCAATGGAATAGTACTGGTGTAAAAGTATGGTACTGGTGTAAAAGTAGATACGTAGACCAATGGAACAGAAAAGAGAACACAGATTTTTAAACATCTATAGAAATGTATTTTTTGACTGGGTAATGCATTCACCTAATTCATGAATCAAAAGATAGGAAGGGTGTGTGGTGGGAGGACTCCTTCCCACTCCCTTCAACCTGCCACCCAATTTCTCTATCTGGAGCCAAACCAACGTTGCCAGTTTTTTGTGCATTCTTCCTGAGATAGTTTATGCACTTATAATCAAATTACCATACGTGGTCTCAACCCCACTTTAAACAATGAAAATAGTAAAGTGCTATATTTTTGTCTGCAGCTTGCTTTTTCCTGCAACAGAATCTCTTGGAGATCATTTCTATGACATAACAAAGAACTTATTCGTGTTTTGGTTTTGATTTTTGCGACTTTATGATATTATACTTTGTGGATGTGCTTTAATTAATTTGCTAGCTCCCTATGGATGGATGATCGATTGCTCCTGCTGTTTTGCTATTGTAAACAACACTTGGTCCACATGAACGTATTTGTAGGATCAGTTCCTCCAAGTAGACTTGCTGGGTCAAAGGGACATGTGCCTCCATGATTTTGATAGACATTGCCCTCCACAGAAGTTGTACCTTGGGCAGTGGTGGATGGCAGGGCATCCCCTTCCCCTAGTGGCTCTTGGACGGCTTTTCTCCGATAGGCTTTACAGAAAGATCACAATAAGATGAGGCCGGGGGGATATACAGAGATCTGACTGGTCCTGCCCTTCATTTAAATTATTTTTCAACTCTCTGCTTTTAGAGTGAATGACTAGAACACACCACTTCACCCAGAATCAGTGTAGCGTGACTGACAGCCCTATCTGGCCAGTGTCATGGTGGCAAGAAAGAGCTGCAGCATACACGGATATGCTCCCCTTCTGGGCTTTTTTGGGACCCATTTGAGAAAGAGCCCACAATTATTTTAATCTGACCTGCCTCTTTTCTCTTCTGTAAAATGAGGAGGGTTGAACACGTGACCTTTGGGCTCCTGTCCCGAACCACATTCCTGGATTCTTTAAGCCATGTAGGTGGTTTAAACCTTTTGGCTGTGGAGTTGTGTTGAGCCAATCCACTGGAAGATGCTGAGTTGCTGAGGGCTTCTGAAACGGGCCGAGGAATCCATTATTCTATTACTTCTTCTCTAAGTGTCACCCAAGAGTTCCTAACAGCTGTGCCTATTGCCAGCAGAAAGTATTGGGCAGGAAATGTTTGATATTTTTTTCATCAGTTCCTACGTCTTGCCTCGTAAACTGTACATAGGAAGAAGGCTGCTTGACAGTTTTTTACTTTTGGATAAAAATGGATTCTTAAGTTCTGATGTTGCATTCTTGGGTTCTCAGACTTCAGTGACATACAGGACCTCATAGGTAGTCACTGTTAAGTGGCATATGATTGTAAAAGAAAACAAACATAAAAGTAATTCCTCTGGCCTCATCTCTTATGCTGTGGTGCAAAAATCAGTGTGAACTCTGTTAATGTAGCCTTCATGCCCAGGCAGCCCTTTAAAATCAGTTTTTATGTCTCATAGTTCCTGAATCTATCAAAAATACTTTCATCCATGAACACATATTTATGACACCATATAATCTTTATTAATTCTTTTGCTGCCTGAATTAAATTCTGCTCTCAGAGGTGGAGGGTTAGAAGACCGAATTGCCTTGTTTAAGAGCATTAGGTTGATGACGAGCCTCAGGCCTCATAAAGGAAGAGAGAGATCCACTTAGGGCTCTTAGCATCATTCTATGTATTTGGACATATTTCCTAATTTAGGTCTGAAGTACTTGGCATTTGATGGCAGATTGTATTAAGCGGCACACGGCGTGCATCCTAATCAGGGAGCTGTGAGTGAAGTAATCCAGGAGGCTGGAATGCGCGTGACAAGGACGCTTGCTTGGCGCTGCTGCCTCTGCTTACATCACGCTGGAAAATCATCGCTAACGTCTCTTATGATAATTATTCCCCATACACAGACGTGAAGAGACTCTGGATTGGTTGCTCGCACTCATCACGAGTTGAAATATCTGTCTGGGAGAGCCTTTGGAATCAGCAATGCAGTGCGCATAGATTGTGGCCACATTCTCCCATACCTCCACCCAAACAGGAAATCCATCTTTCCTTTTGTTTGAGATTCTAGTTCGGAGAAGAAAAAAAACTTGGTATTTTACAAGCAGAATGAAAATGAAATTAGATATTTACTTTGTGAACTTTCCATTTAAATATTTTAAAATAAAAAAATTGAAAGTTCACAAAGTAAATGTCTAATTTCATTTTCATTTTTACCTTAACATTTAACATTTTTAATGTTTATCTGCTTCCTGGGGAAGTGTAGAGAGAGAACTCGTGGAGACCAGCTTTCTGGGCTGTTGAGTGATGCTGACTCCCAAAGGGTCCATTGTTGTCGTGAAGGTTGCCGTCATTGTTAATGAATGCTTATTGAACACATGCTGCGTGTGCAATATCTGATTGGCACTGGCAACAGAGAGATGAGTCAAATATCACATCTGCCTCGGGGATTATAGCCTTGTGGTCCTTAACAGCGACTTGGCGATGTAAAGGAGACATGTTGAGATGCACACGAGGTCATAAAGAAGACCTTCATGATGAACGTGGTGAATTCCAGACTGACAGAAAAACATATAGATAAATAAATGAGGAATGAACATTCAAATGCATTTTGTACTGTTTAATATTAAAATGGTATCCATAGTTGATATAATTGTAGTATATGGTTAATAATAAATAATAAATACAATTCTTCTCATTTGTGAAAACACTAAAGCACCTCCACAGAGCCGTAGAGTTTCTCAAGACAGAGCGAGAAACCTCTGGCTTAGAGGCCTTTGAGGACTGGACCATCTCCGATACTCTGTACAACTGATGGGTTTTTCTGTGAAAAGTGTCTTTTGGAATATTGCTTATTACAGAAGCTATGATCTTTAGGATCTCTAGGGATCCTGGAAGAGAGTGATAAAGTTATAGAATGTAAATATAGGGGAAAGTTCCTTTCAGCTACTGTCAGGGTAGCAGTTGCATCACCACTGAGACTGAGCAAGGGTTCTGCAGTCAGGTAAGCCTTAGGCAAGTGACTTGCCTTGGCGTCCCCATGTGGATACTGGAGCTAATACCCAAGAAAGAGGTAATGTGCTTTGTATGTGGCTGGTGCTCAGCACTTGTTAGGTTCCTCCTTCACCAGCCATCCCCAGCAGCTTTGGGGTCAGGCTGGAGTTCATCAGGCAAAGCCTGGGAGAGAGCAGTCCAGGCAGAGGCAGCAGGGCCTGTGGAAGGCGGTCCCACCAGCTGGAAGCAGTGCCGGGTATATTCAGGCCTGCAGGAGCCCTGCTGAAGCCATACCTGTAGGGATAGCGGCCCATGCTTCTTCACAGGATTCACTTTCGCAAGAAATTTGTTGTTGTTTTGTTTTTTCGAGAGACAGAGTCTCGTTCTGTCACCCAGGCCAGAGTGCAGTGGCGCCATCTCGGCTCACTACAACCTCCGCCTCCCAGGTTCAAGCAATTCTCCTGCCTTAGCTTCCCTAGTAGCTGGGACTACAGGTGTGTGCCACCATGCCCAGCTAATTTTTATATTTTTTAGTAGTGACAGGGTTTCACTACATGTTGGCCAGGCTGGTCTCAAACTCCTGACCTCAGGTGCTCTGCCCTCCTTGGCCTCCCAAAGTGCTGGGATTATAGATGTGAGCTACCGTGCCCAGCCCCCAAGAACTGTTTTAAAAGAATGCATTTATAGTAGAATGAGACAGGTCAATTTAGCTTCCATGCAGAACTAATGCAGTAAGCTAATGTGAATGCTGTCACTTCATATGAAACCCTTCAAGATGTGAAGTCTTATTGGAGAGGGCTGGCACCAAGTCTTAAATGTCTTTTGTCTTTATTCACACTTGCCTAGTTCCTGTATGCCAATAACATCTACCATTTTCTAATTTTTAAAGGAATTATTCAGTCTTCTTGAGACTGAGCAAGTTTACAGAACCATTTAGATTGAATAATATGATGTTCATTGCCTTTCTTCTCTTTTGGCTTTCAAATTAAGCTTAGAATGTTATTTAGAGCCTGGTTTTTCTTCCCTGATGATTGATGTGGAATTTACTTCCTGGTTTACCATCCTACACCATAGAAGAGAAGGAACTTAGTGCTAACTCTGTTTATTTCACCTTCACAGATGGGTATGGCTTTGGTTTGTTTGTGCCAGATGAGCCTGGGAGTAAATACTGCCCAGGCATTGTTAGTGTTAAAAATCAGCTCGTTCTCCAGTTCATGGGGAGCTAAGGGAGCCCTGTTGGAAATGTTTGCCTTTGTTCCAGAGGTGAAAACACGAGTGCTGCAGAAGAGGCTGTGTGCTTCCCCTGCGTGTCCAGACCGTTGAGACTGATGTTGGTTTGGGTCAGAGTAGGAGCAAGAGGGCACTCAGCAAATGGCCTATGTGAGTTGAATTTCTGAGTATTTAAAACATTTTACTGTTTTCAAAATACACATCGTGGTTTAGACTCACAAAATATTACCAAGTAGAGAACTTTAACTTTTTATTCAGCACATAGATGACTATGATTTATTAATTTCCTCCGCACTTCAGTCTTCTATAAGGCACTGTGTTAGAGAGAGGGTTTGTAATTAACTTATCAATTATTGAGTTGCAGATGAATCCTTCTAATGGACGCAAAGTTACTCTTTAAAGCATTCCCTCAGTGTGTTATTAATTTACAGGGTAAATCCCCTTTGTAGAGAGCAAAGGAAAACTCCTGCTCAGCCCACATCTGAGCGGTCACATCCCAAACTAAGGGACTCGGGAGGAGCCATGAGGCTGAAGGTGCATTAAAATGAGGAAGCGGGCTATGTCCAGGGAGCTGCTCTGCCAGACCTGGCTTCCAGCCTCAGCTTGCCTCTGCTCAGAACTGTGCCAGGGACGTGGGATGACCAACTGGCCCCAAACTGAATTCCTCATCCAGATTTCTTTGGGTCTTTGCAGGGTTAGGCCATCTGGCCCAGGTGGCTTCTTTGCACTGTGCTGTTTCCTTGGGTTGTGAACTCTTAACTGTGATCTCAAGATCATTGTAAGTTTTAAAAGTATGTTGAAAATGACATGAAAATAATGCCTCCCCGAGCGCATTTCCCCTTCCTGGCTTGCGCCTGCCCTTTCCCCACCTTTATACTCTTGTGGCACCTGTCCACCTGTCAGTGCCCCTCCTCACGGTCCACTTCAGGTTTTCTCAGAGCACTGGCTGCATGGCGAGGAGTATGGGTAAGGCCCCGGTGCCTGTCTTCAGCCTGGCCTTCTGGACTGTGGGGAGTTGGGCCCCATCTTAGCTCCCAGCTGTCTAGTCCTGTGCTTCCAGAATGAGCCCCTTGCTCCAGCCAGACCTCCAGCCAGGCTAGCACCATCCTGAATGTGCCACATTCATTCCTGACCGGGGACTGGCACTAGCATCCCCTCTTCCTCTCCTGTCCCGCCATGTCCTTTTGAAAGAGTCCTACTTACCAGAAGCAGCCTTACCAACTATCTGCTCTCATTGAGCATCAGAGCTCTGGCCCTGAGCTTGTACAGAACACGGGATCTGCAGCTCATATTTTCATACCAGCACCGCCCAGCACTATTGCTTCCCCAGACTGGCAGCAATTTGGAAGCAGGAAGTAAGAATTGATAGCTGGATAATACTTACCACTGTCATGGCTGAAGGTCTTCGTTAGCCTGAAAGGCAGTATAGGTAAGCACAGGGGTTCTCACATGCCAGCATGCTTCAGAATCTACAGGAGACCTGATGAAACCACTGATCACTGGCCCCACCCCCAGAGCTTCTGACTCAGTGGGTCCAGGGTGGGGCCTGAGAATTTGCATGTCTAACAAGTGCCCAGGGCAGTGGAGGCTGCTAGTCCTGGGACCATACTTTGAGCACCCTGGGGTAGAGGTTTAAAGAGCATGAGCTTTGAGCCCACCCATCCAGGTTTGAATCCTCGTGCCAAAACTTCCTAACTGGGCAAGAGGTTTGAGCCCTCTGGGGCCCCATATTCTCCTGTGTAAAGGGAGTAAAATCATGGTACCTACCTTACAGCATTGTGGGGGTCAGGTGAGATAACACATCATAGCAGTGTTTTGCATGTAAGAGAATATTATAAATATTAGCTATTATTAATTATTTTGGCAGGACAGGAAAGACATTGTGATATGGTCGCAAAGTGGCATAGGAATAACATGAGCTGGGCTCTACCTAGTGCCACCTCAGCTCCTTTTGTTGCCCATGTAATTCGGGGCCAGCTACTCAAAATGATTTAAGCTTCAGTTTCTTGATGCACAAAATGTAGGCAGGAGTATTTGTCTTCTCTGCCTCTGGGTGGTTGTGAGTTTCAAATGGAAGGATGTTCTGAAGGGATTTGTGTGAAAGGCATGTCCTGGGTATTATGAAGAGCTCATATGTGTAGTGTTGGTTTATGTGCAGAATGCTGCTAAACACATGTCTCTGCCACACCCCATGCACCGTGTAGAGTGAGTAGAGGTGGTTTATGCCTTAGGTGGCTGGGAGGAGCCCCTGGGTGGACCTGCTGCCCTCTGCCAAAGGACCTGATTATTCACTGTGGCTTCCCAGTCTCCCCCTGGGGCTATTTGTTTCAGTGATCTGATTTTAGCTGCCTGCCTGCCTTCTTCTAGAAGCTTTTGTCCAGTCTAACTTGGGGCCAAACTAGAAGTTGCCAGGCTACTCAAAAGAAAATCGATAACCAAGCTAGTGTAATATACTGAATTTCATGTACAATGTTCACTAAGTCCTGTTGGCATACAGATACTTGTACATTATGAGCATTTCATGGTAACATTTTCATTTTCAAAATAGTACGCAAGTTGCCTTTAATTTTAAAGAGTTCACTTCATAGTTTGCAGCCTCAGTTTTCACTCTGTAAGATAGATATAATAACTTTCTCTTGGTGATTCTTTCCATGTGGTCAGTGTTCATGGCATTTTAACGCTGCCCATGCTCTCTGTGGGGATGAGGCCTGTTGGGAGAATGAAGGAGGGTGTGAGGATTTTTAGCTCTCAGTCGTACATTTGCACGATGGTTATCATCTCTTCACTGGACTCACTGCTCTGACATGAATATTCCCTGTTCGTGTTATGTGAGTATTAAACAGGTCTTCCTAATCACACTTCTTACCCTTACACCAGCACTGAGATGAAAATGATCCCAAAGCAAAGAGAAAGCCGTATTCTGCTCACTCCACAAAGTAGACCTGGCCTTTCTTTATTATTCCCAGCGCCTACAGACGTGCTGAGAGAGAGAGATTGGCTGGTTTGGATGGTTTTTGCCTGCATTTGTACCCGAGTGTACTCTTGCTCTGTGGGTTCCTTTCAGGCTTAGGTCACAATAGGTGTTGGTTTGGCCTCGCTCCGGTCCTTTGTAGACATCTGCCCACATCACAAAGCCCCCACGTTTGGCACAGCCCGCAGCAATTGGCACTGCCTGCCCGGGAAGAGTCCAGTCCTGGAACAGCGGGGGTTGCAGGTGCATTGGCACGTGGTGGTAGGGAGCGCACACAGGCCTTGCCTACCCAGCGCCTGGCGACGCTCAGCAACACCGTCCCATCCCTGAAATATCTTGGCCTCGTGGGCTTGTCACTCCAATTAAAACTTAAACATGAAAGCGGCTCAGGCTGCTTCTCCCTTTGTGCTGAATTTGAGCATGGACGGTGCCAGAAGCATGTCATGGAGACTGTTAAGGGGTGCCATGTTGCAGGGAACGTCAGGAGTGTCAGGGATCCATTTCTTCAAGATTAGCATCTTGGTTGCTGCTGCAAAGTGCACCTGAAAGGCAAGTTTCTGTTTGCCAACAGAAAGTCACCTTTGGGATGGTGGTGAAAGTCATTTTCCACATGTTCACAGATACGGCCGTGTTACCAAGCCTCACGCTATGACTTATCTCTGGCAAGGACTTACAAAATAGTCTCTCTGGCTGATTGTCAAAAATGACATCATATTGGAGTAAACTGCTTTTAAATCAGACATCCATTATTCATGTATATTAACTGCTTTTTTATTTTTTTATTGGCTGTTTTGTGTATGATTTACTCTTTTCTCACTGGCTCACCCTCTCTCCCCAGTTGTCTTTCTCATCCCTGTTTTTTTAAGGTCTTAGCTCATCTGTGAATTTATAGAGACTGTTCATCTAGCTTTGTGCATGAACATTGATATGCACACCTTGCATTTTTTGTAGTTCAATTCCACATTTCCGTGGATCTTACTTTCGTTGGGTCAGAATAGCAACGTGGGTCGTTTACATGAGTAAATTCTACCATGAAGATGTTTAGGACTTTTTCTTTTGTATCTTTTGTTTTTTAAAAAGGAGCATCACTAGTCTTGTACTAGAAGATCTGTACTGAATAAAAGTGTTACCTGGCACTTAGCAAACAGCTATATACATTGCAGTTAGTGGACAGCAAATAGACTTTGTGTGTCCATTTCTATTTGTGAAGCCTGTCTTTACTGTAAGGCCAGCATAGCAGTCGCCTGGAAGAGGTAGATACACGCAGACATGTGCAGTGTGTATTCATCTGCTCATTCTTTCATCAAGTGTATACTGAACCCCTCCTATGTGCCGAACATTGCACAGGTATCCAAAGGAGCTTCTGTTCCTTGCACACAGGGGTGGGGTCGCACCCTGCGCATCTGGCATCTTGATGGTTATGGTACTTTTTCCTGATTCATGGCATTTGACTGGTTGGAATAAAGACTGGGTACAGATTATTCTGTGTATTTAACCCCCAAATCAGCACTGTTGTTTTTGCAGACAGCATCTGCATTCTTTTATGCCCATTACTTGAATCTTTGTTGACCCAGACCCTCCTTCTGGAATGATTTTCTGTCTCCTAAAAGTGCATTCTTTAGAAGTTTCTTTCGTAAGGACTTGGTCACAAGTGTTTTCTGTGTTTCTTTCTTACGGCATCTTCATTACATCCTTATCCTTGAAAGGTAGTTTTGCTAGTCTTCTACAGTTCTAGCTCAACAGTTATTTTCGCTCAGCCTTTGAGGATGTGACTGGTTTGCCTTCCACTGACACTCCTGAGTTGGCTGTCAGTCTGTCATTCTCTTTTAGGACTTTCTCTCCTTTTGACTGCTTGTAAGATCTTCTCCTTGTCTTTAATTTTCTGTGGTTTCATGCCAGTGTCTCTTTGTGTGGATTTATTTATTTTTATCCTGTCTGGGATTTCTTGTGTGTCCCTCCTTTCAGTTGTAGAGAATTCTCGGTCCTTATCTTATTGGAAATGTATCGCGATGCTCTGCGTGGAGCTCAGGGGAGGTGTGCATGAAGGCAGCTTCTCCCCTCCTTCGTGCTGCTCACTGCCCATTCAGATTTCCCATCTCTCTCTATGTTGCATTCCGCATAATTCCTTAACTCTGTATTCCAGTCCACAGTTTCTCTCTCGGACTTATTTCTTGCTTATCTCATCCATTGACTTTTTAATTTCTAGAAATTCTCTGCTTTATTTTTCAAATCTGCTTAATCCGATTTCCTACTTTTTATCCTCTCCCTCTTTAATCTGTCAACATTTTCAGCATGCTTATTTTGTATTCTTTATTTGATCTTGCCTGGAAGTCTAATTCTCCTTGTTTTTCTGTCTCACATATGATAAATCATTTCTTGCTGTATTTGGATTTGTTTTTTAATTGTGAGCTAATACTCAGTTGATCTTGATTTGTAGGTTTCTTAAAGGGGCCTGAGTTGAGATTGTTTCCCTCCTGAGAAGATTCTGCCGAGGTACCAGGAGGTATGTTACCAACCCGAAAATACCTTATTAGGCTTGGGTTCTTTTAGCCTTGCAGGTGGTGTAAACTCAAACCCAGAACTTGTGTGGCGGCAGACATGTGACTGCAGACTGTTTTCCACCCTGAACTGAACCTGAGGCAGAGAAGTTTCTGGGTAAGCTATCTGCACCAATAGATATTTTCCCCCTCTTGCTCGCTTTTTACTGAATGTATGTAGCCCTGCAGGGACCCGACTGTAGGTTCTACTCCATGCTGGGCAGACACTTGGTCTCCTGTTTCCCCAGCTCTCCAGGCTCCTGACACTGGAGGGGGAGCCCAAACTAGCCCCTGGCTTGAATGCTCTCTTACCTTCCTGGGTTTCGTGCTCTCTTCATTTTGGGCTCCTGTGGATTTCTCTGATTGCTTATTAAACAGAATGTCTGAAGGACTGTTTGATGTTAGGCTGAGTCTTATCCAGCATGGTCACTGTAAATGGCAGGGTTTTCCAGACATTCTTGTCTGCCATGTTGTCAGAGGTGGGACTGTCAGACTGGAATCAGTTGGGGCACTCTGGCATCTGGATAGTATGAAGAGATCTTTGTGGAACCATCTTCTGTTCTGGGTAGGATGGAGCAGCTTCTTTTACATACCAGCAGCAAGATCCAGGAGTGGAGGAAGGTGTTACGCACTAAAAGCAACATCTGAGTATCTTCGGGGTCTGAGGCTATGGGAAGCTCTGGATTTGCCTGGCATTGTGTACCAGTCAGTGAGCCTCCAAACACAAACGCAGGCACTTAGTGAGATGCGGGAATGTGTAACTGACACTATACCTGGGATGTGCTGCCCTTTAATAATTGCCACATGAGTGAATGAATGATAGAACATCTCTGCCCCCAGGAACCTTAGCGTTGAAGCCTAGGAGAGTGTTACAGTGTTTGGTGGGATGCGGTGTGGTGCTTGGTAATAGTGCTGCAGAGCCTCCCCGACCTGCTGGAGTCACTGCCTCCTCCCCTCCAGTATCTGAGAACCGCAGATCTAGGGAAGAGCCGGAAGAAGATAAGACACAGGTCAGGGTGGCCTTGTCAAAACACCATGTGACACGTGCAGACAGCAAGGACTCTCAGCACTGACCAGGGGAGCGGGCACTGTGTGCCGAGGACATCACGGAGAAGCGAGCACAAAGGCAGCGGGAGTGGACAGAAAAGGAGAGAGCAGGCGGTTTAACTGCCTCACTGCCCAGCATCTGGCTTCTGATCACGACTTCCCCGTTCAGAAGAGCCACATATGTGAGGTAGTGATGGAGATAGGTTACTAGGGATCAGAAAGTGTGTAGATGGTGTCATCTCCAGGAAGTGTAGTCGCATCTTCCTCTCTTGCCTCTTCTCTTAGACTCTGCTCAGCCCAGCACAGCACCTCCTAACCTTTGGCTCTCTTTGCCACTTCCCTTTTTTAAATGGCGGCCAACAAATCATCTTCAATTGAAAAAGCTTTTAAAATGCTGTCGTCTTGTAAGGAGGCCTTCCGACTCCTCCTGAGTTCTCTGGACAGACGGTGCTGGGCTTCTGGGGAGCTGAGCCAGCTGCTGGGGTGGTTGTTGTTGGTTTAATGCCTGTAGCAGGTATTTGAGTATGAAGACTCAGTATTTCGATAAAATTAAAACACAGCGCTCCTTTCCTCATTCATCAGTATAGGACCAAAATTCTGGGAGGGTAAGGCTCTATAATCTCTTCACAGTGATTTCAGTATGCAAGTGGTTCATGATTAATTATGAGGGTGACAGCCCCCAATTTAGGAAAAGCTTGCAGTGTTAATCCATTTTTTACTGGGTGAAGGAAGAAGCTGGTCTGCCTTGAACTCACCCCCCCCCCCACCCCCCACAGGGACAAGAGCCATCTCTCAGCTCTTTCCTTCACAGTGCCTGGAAAGCCAGTCCAGGCCACACCTGGATGCTGTGGGGCCTGCCTGCCCACGGCGGTGGCTGATGCCTTCCCGTTGTTGGGACTGTGGCTGGTGTCTCCTTCCTGACTCTGGACCGCTACCCCTGCTGCTTAAGACACCAGCTGCCAGGACATGGCTAGAAGACGGTCGGTGAGTCTCCTCAGAGAGGCAGGCCCATCTATGGAGGAGCAGGACAGCTGGCGGTCAGGCCCCAGCTGGGGAAGAGGCGGGCTCTGGCAGCTGGCAGCAGGCTGGGACTTCTGCACGCCACCCAGCGCCCCTGCACGTTCATTCCAGGGCCTAGAAGATGATTGATAAATAGCTGTTGGCCGGCTCTTGAATGAATTACAGCATTATTTATTTTATCTAAAAATTAGAAACAATCCACATGGAATTGTGTATCCACAGAGAAATTCTACACAACCATGAAAAAGTACAAGATCTATCTATAGGTGCTGCCACGTAGGGAAAAGGAGTTGTGAAATAATCCCATTTAGGAAAAAAATGTGCATACACACAGAGACAGATGTGCAGAAGAAAAGTCTAGAAGTATATATATCAAACTGTTAAAAGTGGTGATTTCTGAGAGATGAATATACAGAGGGCTACCACTTTCCTTATAGAATTCTGTTATGTTAGAATTTGTTGTAAGATGTATCATATTTGAAATCAGAAAAAGATTTTTAGAAATAGATTTCAGATACATCAGAATCACTGACAAAATTGCAAGTTAAGATTCTAAGACTAGGATTTATGGAAATACTTTAAGGTCTCTAATTTAAAAAAACAGATGAATAGAGAACTTTCTGCTAAAGTTATTTTTAAAGATAGTGCTTGCTTTTCCCCCATTGCCTTCTAGGTCTACCTGGAAGCCAAAGAGGAGGAAAAATTCTCTGTGTCATGCATTTCCTATAGTACCATTGTAAAGCACACAACCAGCCTCAACATGGTTTAGCTGTTTTAGCTAATTCTTACAGAAACATCTAATGCCTGCAAAAATTTGTTCTGTAATCACTGTTCAAATTCTTCTCTAATATACACCTGGTACTTAAAAGGAACCATCCTCAACATCATCTTTGGCAGCCACATTAGTGCAGAATATTTTCTCTGGGATTTGAGCTGGGGTAGGTTTTTCCAGCATATCTGTACACCTCTGAGAATGAGTCAAGTGGCCATGGGTTGAGACTCACCCAACTAGGGCAATAAAGAGAAAAATTAGTCTAATGCATGGTCTTAACAAGAGGGAGAGTGTGAGCATGAATAATTAATCTCACTAGTCTATGGCAATCAGATAAAATGAAGTCCCATTTGCTCAACCTTATTAAAAGAGAGAGAGTACGTGGGAGGGAGGGAGAAATGGTAAAGGTCGTTAAGGGACTTGTAACATGGAAAGAACTGCCTTTGAGATGGGTAATGTGTTTTCTAATCTCTGTGGTCTTTAACTAAACGTCATGGTAAAGGTACTCTTCAGATAGTTCTGATTCGTTGAATTATTAAACATTTTAGAAAATACTGGACTCTGGACTAACTTAGATGTCTTTATGATGAATTTGCAGAGAGTCTTTTTGGAAAGGGATTACATCTCACTATATCTCTAAGAAATAATTTATCCACTTGTCAAAAAAGAACAACTGGAAGACATAAAGACACATGAACCTACTCAGTATCAGATTTCAGTTCTTAGATTTACCATCAACATTTTACTGACTTAAAGGCCTTACCTTCCTGCTACAGAAGTTGAAGTATTTTAAAAACAAGAGAATATTGAGTGCAAATTTTTGAACACTCTTAATGATAAGTAGATGCAGAATACTACTTTTATAATAGAATGTGAGGTTGCTCTTTATATTTTCTCCCTCTAGGTGCTGATTTTATATAATTTTTAGGTTATTCCCTGAAGATAAGAGATTTGGTTATTTCTGTATACTTACTTGGAAGAATAATCTTACTCTTGATATTTTTAAATTGTTGAAATTTTCTGCGTCAGAAATTTTTCTTTTCAACTGCAATTGTTCTCTGTAGTCTTTATGGATTAAGAGGGCATTTTAAATTTTGAATTTGTCCTTTTTCCTTCTAGATGCTGTTAGCAATAGTTAATATTATAGTGTTGTTTTGACCGTTAGAAACTTCCAAAGATTCACTTGTTAGAAATGTGTGTTGACAGGATTATTTTCAAGGTAGAGAATATTTAATTTATTATTAACTTCTCAATACTAAAGTAAAAATCTGTATCCTGGTAAGTGATAAATGTATAGGTTGACAAGAAGAAATGTACATCATTTCCATGTGTGTGCTGAAAGGATAAATCTTTCTACAAAATATTACTATTAAAACCTTTGGCTGGGGCCAAGTGTGGTGGCTTACGCCTATGATCTCAGCATTTTGGGAGGCTGAGGTGGGAGGATCACTTGAGGTCAGAAGATCGAGACCAGTCTGGCCAACATGGTGAAACCCCGTCTCTACTAAAAATACAAAAATTAGCCAGGCGTGGTGGCGGGCGCCTGTAATCCCAGCTACTCAGGAGGCTGAGGCAAAAGAATCACTTGAACCCAGGAGGCAGAGGTTCACTTGAACCCTGGGTGATAGAGTGAGACTCAGTCTCAAAAACAAAAGCAAAAAAAGACCAAAAACTTTTGGCTGGGTGCAGTGGCTGATGCCTATAATCCCAGCACTTTGGGAGGCCAAGGCAGGAGGATCGCTTGAGCTCAAAAGTTTGAGACCAGGCTGGGCAACATAGTGAGACCCCTTCTCTACTTAAAAAATTTTAAAAAAAAAGAAAGAAAGAAAGAAAGATATCAGCAGGCCGTGGTGGCACACACCCATAGCTCCAGCTACTCGGGAGGCTGAGTGGGAGAATTGCCTGAGCTCAGGAATTTGAGGCTACAGTGAGCTATGATGTTGCCACTGCACTCCAGCCTGGATGACAGAGCAAGACCCTGTCCCCCCACCCCCTCAAAAAAACCAAAAACTTTTGAGTTCATTAATTTAGAAATATCAACATGATCACTAGGATAGAAAGTACGCTCAGAACTTGGTGTGTTTGCGTGTGTGTTAATGAGGAGCCTTCTGAATGTGAATCTGGGGCAAGGACTGTGTCCTCAGCACCTACAACAGTGACTGACACATAGCAAGCACTTAATGTTCTTTGAATTAAGTTGAATTGAATTAATACTTTTAAAGCAAAAAACATAAATTTCCCCCCGCTAGAGAGAAGACACGAGGTGTTCTAATACAACAATGCATCGTCTGGAAATCAGGGGTACCTTCTTATTACTTTCATACCCTGTGGAACAGAGCATCCTAAAACTAGCAAGCAGAGAGTGAAGAGAGAGGTGTTTGGAAGTGAGTTTGTGTTTTGGTTTGTAGTTCAGTCCGAAGGAAGCATCCAGTGGCTAACTATACAAGCTTCATCTTCCTGGTCCTTGTACTATTCCTTCTTTTCCCGCCTGTGTTGTAAATTCAGATGAGAACTCATGCTGGCTCATCTGCAAGCTTCCTGATGCCTTGCGAGCTTTCCCATTCATTCCAAATCAGAAGCAGTCAGTGGCCCCATCGTTTCCAGACAGCTTTCTCTTTGTTAAGAAATTAGAATACCTGATTTCCCCGCATTTTCCTTGTGGCCTGAGTGTACCTTGGCCTGAGAAATTCACGGGATTTCCTTCTCTCTCCCTTTGCATTTCTTTTTGGCACTCTAATAGCCATGTCCCTATACTATCAGTAACCTGAAAAAGATCAGGAAATTAAGTGGCAGAACATCTTCACGGGAGCTGAGTGGTAAGGATCATGCCTTCCACGATGGTGAAATGAAAGTGTTTGATGTTGGCCTGGTGTATGGAATTGTGGGCCCACACATTTCTCTTCCTCTCTCAGATCCTGGTATATAGCCTGGAAGCAGGACGCCGCCTCTTGAAGCTGGGTAACGTTCTCCGTGACTTCACATGTGTCAACCTCAGCGACAGCCCTCCCAACCTCATGGTCAGTGGCAACATGGACGGGAGGTACGTGAATTGGAAGGGCATTGCCTTGCAGCCCCACGGCTTCGGCCAAGGCCTGGCCACCCGGCCCCCACTGCGCTGCTCACACTGCCCGGTTCTCATTCAACAGCTCTGCCCACCTGAGTTCAGCCCCGATCCCATAAACACTCTAGACTCGGAGAACAAAGTCCTGTATTAGGTAGTAGTTGGATGTCGCTATGTCTCTGCTTCATTTCTGAAGCACCATGGGAAGGTTTTCTTTTAAGCCATTTGGTGGACGCAGTTGGTAGAAGGTCCAGGGAGACCACTTGGAATATCTTTTGTCCCCCTGCTGCAGAATTTGTTTGGCACTTAAAAGCTCACTTTCTAATATTAAAAACAATAACCTAAGGGATGAATCATGTTCAACAAAATAGGGTTTCCTGCCAAATGATGTCAAGAGTGTATTTCAGAACCTGGTGGTGTCCCTCTGGCGATGGAGGGAAAGGGAGACTTCATGTGAACAGATTCCAGTTTCTATTTAGCTGATTAGCAGCCTTCTCTTTAACGCACTGGCTTAGGGAGTCAGCTTTTCCCGGTACAGGGGCCTGTGCCAGCCGCGGGCACCCCAGGAACCATCAGCAAGAAAGGATTAAAGTGTTTGAAAAGACCCTCTGAGTCCAAATTTTAGGTTTCTCCCCCCTTCCTCTCTCCTTGTTTTTTCTTTTCCTTTTCTTTCCTTTTTTTTTTTGGCCGGTTATCTGCTGTGTCTGATCCAGTGCCCTGAAGAGAGGTAGCATGGCTGAGGGCCAGGGGCGGCTGGTGCCCCCTCCCCTGGGCCCGGCCCCGGGCTGCAGGTGGCGGGCTGCTCGGAGGCGGGTGTCAGATCGTGAGGCGGGTACTCCTCTGTGCCAGATCCCAGGCCTCTGTCCCGCCAGTGCAGCAGCTTGCAAAAATAGTTATTCTGTCAAACAATATTTTCAACTCCCGACTTTCACCCCTAGATACCCGCCCCCAACTTAGAGCAAGGAGATGATGTGAGTATGCTTTATTGGGGAGGAAAATAATTATTTTTCTTCAAGGCCTCCGAAAATGCCCGATGTTCTGGTGCTTGAGAACTGAACTCCTCAGTGTGTCTGGGCACGCACTGGGCTAGCTCTCTTTAGAAACTAGGCTTGATAAGTGGCCCCACATGTGGCATGGCAAAAGAATCAAGTCAGTTTGTAGTTCTAATCCTGCATTTTAGTTTCCAGGTTGAGCTATGCAGAGGCTCCAAGCGCCCCTCCCAGGATCTCCACACACGGGCCTGGCAGCTGCTTGTTTTTGAGGAGAGGCGATGTGGAGGGCTCTTTGGGATGGTGGATGATGCTCAGAGTGTGCTTGCAGTGTGAACATTTGTATCTTCAGCCACAGCTTAGGCTCACCGGAAACGAGAAGGGTGTTGCAGAGAAGAAACCTCTGCTTTCTGCATAATTTCAAAAATATCAAGAAAAAAATTCTACAAAGTTCCAAAAAGCAAAACTTGAATTTGCAGCAAGCCAGGTACTATGTTGAATCATAATGAAGCTATGTGTAGGCATCGTATTAGGTATTATTAGTAATCTAGAGATGGTTTTTATGGGTGTGTGTAGGTTATATGCAAATACCACACCACTTTATATGTAAAGGGGGACTTGAGCATCTGTGGATTTTGGAATTGCAGGGGGTCTTGGAACCAATCCCCTGTGGATACTGAGGGATGACTGTACACACTCAGGAGAGCTGACTTTTCCTCTGGAGCAGGCTGCTTGTTACATACGCACTGCCAGAGAGGCGTTCCGTGCATAGTGTCGGAGGGCTCTCTGGTCAGTTTGCAGTCCAAATTTGACTGTGTTAAGTCCATTTTATTAGTAAGCCAATGTTACATTTTTTAAAAAATGCTCTGTCTCTGTGGATGAAAAGAACAGACTAGTGACTTAGAGTTGGAGGTGGGGCATCCAAATTGGCATTTAACCAGTGTGAGTCCTAGAGCAGTGCCAGCTGTGTGCCCACTGCTGGTACATTAGCGGCCAGCCATCATATGTGAGAATACTCCCTGAGTCAGGTTGCTGGGTCAGCAGCTTAGAATTTAGGGGTTTAAAATCTGTTGTTTTAATAAAAATTGCACATCTAGGAAAAAGGAATGAGGAAGCTAGACTAAGTGTGGTAGAGGGAAATCTTGCTTTTTTCCCCCAGAGGCTTAATAGCTATGAATAAGATCTTATTAGAGATGCCGGCCCAGGCTTGTATAGCTTATGTTTTACGTTAAAAGTGGGAGTAAGGGGTCAAATATTATGAAGAGAACTATGTCCTTGGCTGTCACTTACTGACTGATGCAATTTTTTACAAACCCTAGAACCTTCCTATTTTATTTTAAAAACTTAATTCCCACTGCATTCTCTTAGTGCTTTATAAATAACTTGGGAATGAGATGGACTCTAAAGGTACATAAAACTGCCCCAGATTAAGACAAAAATATATTTTCATTAAAGTAAGGAATCAGTTTTAAGTCGTTTGCAAACATGGGTGGGATTTTGCAAGGAGTTTTATTTTGGGGGTGTGGGGGGACAGTGGACTTAAATTAAAAATGAAAAAGTATCTGTCCTATCACTCAAGAAAAGCCAGACACTTGAGGTCAGGAGTTCAAGGCCAGCCTGGCCAGATGGTGAAACCCCATCTCTACTAAAATACAAAAATTAGCCACACATCGTGGCTCATGCCTGTAGTCTCAGCTACTCGGGAGGCTGAGGCAGGAGAATCGCTTGAACCCAGGAGGCAGAGATTGTAGTGAGCCAAGATCACACCACTGCACTCCAGCCTGGGCGACAGAGTGAGACTCCATCTCAAAAGATAAAGAAAAACTAAAAAATAAACAGAGTCTGATGAAGAGCAAGAGAAAGATTGGGGTGGAAACTGAGTTAATGTTAGAGTATGCTTTTCCCTTGCTGGGAGGGAAGGCTTGTAAAGATGGGAGCGGAGAGAAAAGTGAGATTGTGCATAAGAGTTTTATCAGTGTAGATCAGTGAGTTTTTCTGAATGCATATTTTGTCTCTTCTTGCTAAGACTAAAAAGAAAGAGCAATGAGTAATGGTACGGGGGGAGTGATGCACATTGGCATTAGGACTGGCTGCTCGTGTCCATTCCACTTACCACACACTCTCTGGTGTTTGGCGGGTGCTAGCACAGTATATTTTCTATTTATTCTAAGATATATGTTTAAAAAAAAAACATTTTCACATCTATGAAATCAGAATGGACTTTTACAATAGCATCATAAAATGGCAGCATTTTTAAAAGTTACACAAAGTAATGATGCTTCTTGGAATCAGTGGCGTTTTCAATGAAATGAAAGTATATATTCACTGAAGGCAACAATGAATTAATAGCTTAGGAATTCACATTTATGAGAAACTTGAATGAGTCACTTAAGGAAAAGTCTGCAG